TGCTGGCTTTGAAGGTGGGCGAGAACGTGAGCCAAGGAATGCAGATGGGCTCCAGAGCTTAGAAGAAGAAAGAAGATGGCTCCCTAGAGCCTCCAGGAAGGAACACAGGCCGGTCATCAGCTTGATCTTAGCCCAGTAAGACCCATTTTCGACTTCCCACTTCCGGGACCGTCAGGTAAGAAAATCTGTATTGTTTTAAGCCCCTAAGTTCGTAGTAATTTGTCAAAGTAGCGAATGGAAACTGCCAGAATGAAGTGTCTGTGGGACAGTCAAGGGAACTGAATGCAATTTAGAGGACACACATCCGGTTGGAGATGCACGTCAGGTTCCCCACCCCCACGTGCCTCTCTCGCAGGCAGACCGTGTCTCTTCAAGACTCGGTTGTGTTGTTCGGATTGCACAGGGGAGCCTGGTTGGCTCGGGCGGGCAAAGGACCCTGGATTCACAAAGCCGAATGTGCTAGCAAGAGCTCCTTGCGTGAAAGGAATCAAGGGACACCCCAGCAGCAGGATCCTTCCCTTCCGCACAAATCTTACGTTGTTGTCTTACTCAGACTCACCACAGCACCTTCACGGGCTGAATGCCATCTTCCCCTCCTGGGGGACTAGCACACGCACGTGCACACACGTGTCCCCGGTATCCCCCCAGGGGGTGGCCGCCCCCAGCAGGCCCAGCCCCCCAAGTGGCAGCACCTCTGCTCCGGGACTGTTGGAAATAATTCATATTGCTTTGCTCTGATCTCGTAAAAAATGAAACATAGATGTGCTCTTACCCATAAAAAGCAGAAGCCTCACCCAAAATTAGTAGGGATGACGATGAGAGCCACTAGGGGCCGCTCGTAAGCTAATCACGTAGGCGTCCCGCTGTGAAAGACATGAGCTTCCCCACGGAACTTCCCAACAAGACCAATCCGAGGCGACCTTTACCGGGCACTTCCGGCGCACTCGCACGTTACCCTCAGAACCCCACCAGCCCACGGGGGTAGGGGCCGTGTTTATCCCCCCTACGGCTGCTAAAGTTTAGACGCAGGACGTTTAAGCTGCTTAAGGAATCACAACCATGTTCCCTTTATGAAACTTTTCTCCCAGGATACTTGTCATTCTCCCACCTCCTTCAGGTCTCGTAAATATCTCCGGGATATTTACATCTCGCTGACCAGAAAGAAGATCCGCAGGGACTGTCATTCTAATGACATTCTTTGGTAGAAAAGGCAAGTACGGTTACATCCATTGGTCAGAATTTACTTCATACCACGTGCTCTGTCCACGTAGCCTGGGAAGACCTATCCTGGATACGGGAGGCAAACTGGGGCTGGGTGAAGAGAAACTTCCAGGTCCCTCGGAGCTGGCTTGAGGCTGCCTGTGGAGGCCAGTGAGGGCAAGCTGGGTTTTAGCACTTCGGGGCGCGTGCAGGTGGTCAGTAATCTAAATGCTCTCTGCACAGCCTTCCAGGGTGCATGAAAAGTCAAAGCCTGGCCTCAGAGGCTCCATGGAGTATGGAGTGGACAGGCCCATCCTTCACTAGATGACCCTTGAGGCTGAAAGGTGGAAGCAGGACGACATCTGGCCTCTCAGAATGTTCCTGTCCTCAGGGCCACCTCCCCTGGTGTAAGGGCTGCATCCTGGCGGCACGATGGGAAGGCTGACCACAAGTTCACATACACCACGTGGGCACCTCCCAGCCCTCGGAGACGGGGAACCCTGAGCCCTGCTGGTCTCCACTGCAAAGCCGGTGGGGCCCACGGCACCTTCTAATCCCTTTCATGGCTATTCCAGATCTTGGCCATCTACCCCACATGTGCACATGTGTTCTCATTCAGGATTCAAATAGCCTGGGGGGGGGGGGGGGGGGCAGTACTTTCACACGTAAGGGAACGGAGGCTCACATCCAGGGACCTCCCCATCATCAGACACTACGTGCTTCTCTGAGCCTAGACCTTTGGCTCCAAGAACAGTGCTCCTGTCGGGGACACACACGGGCCACCAGCACGTGATCCACTACAGACACCTGCGTCTGACGTCAGAGAGCACCGAAGTCAGACCGTGACCCCAGAATTCTCAAAACCCCATTTTCAATAAGCACTTAATGTTGGTTAGGGAGGATTCCCAAAATGCCTCTGGGCTTTTCCAGCTTCCCAGCGCGGAAGCCTGAGGCTTGCCAACCGGCCTGCTTTTCGACGGGGCCAAACTTCCTCCTCCACGGACACTCTTCGGCAGAAAAGGCAAGCTCAGTTGTATCTGTAGGTCAGAATTTATTTCATACCACCTCGTTCATAGCATTTTCAAGGACAGCGTTCTGCTCAACATCGTTTACGCTTGAAAAAGAGAGAAGCACAACTTGGTAAGGCACCAGGTTACGACAGTCGGGGAGAAGATTCTGCCTTCATTTTGGCTTGGGTAATAGCTGCGTGGTTTCTCTGAAGTCTGTCAAACACAGAGAACGACATTACAAAAGGTTCGCTTCCACATACATGGTAAAAAAGAGAGAAAACACTTGGGAAGTATATTGTATTTTTAAATCATGACTGGCCTACACCGTAGGAGTTAAGCGAAGGTGGCATCTTTTTTTTTTTTTTTTCCAACGTTTATTTATTTTTGGGCCAGAGAGAGACAGAGCATGAACGGGGGAGGGGCAGAGAGAGAGGGAGACACAGAATCGGAAACAGGCTCCAGGCTCTGAGCCATCAGCCCAGAGCCCGACGCGGGGCTCGAACTCACGGACCGCGAGATCATGACCTGGCTGAAGTCGGACGCTTAACCGACTGCGCCACCCAGGCGCCCCATGGTGGCATCTTCTTAAAGCACGACTCATAAAATCTCCTCTGCAATGCCAAGCCGCAAGTTTAACGACGGTTGAGCTCTGAAGTGGATCAACTTTACGTTTACCTCAAGACGTACTTTTAAAAACGTTTCTGCCCAAGTCACACAAAGAAACAAGAATGGAGGAAAGCGTTAAGTACAATCAATCGTACCTTTACTGTTCTATAAAACGCAGCAACATATGAAAAATGGTGGCGTTTAAAGGTCAACCCTCTAGATTTTTAGCGCCAACGGTACAGGTTGTATCAAGTTGGGTTAGAAATAAAGCGCTTGCGTAAAGCTTTCAGAACTGGGCCACACAGGCGCTTTTCACCATCAGCTTTCAACCAGTGGCCCTCCAAGGCAGAGGGTGCCCGTGGCCTCTCCAGGGGGGCCAAGAGCTGCCCCATATGCTATCACATGCATAAAATTTCTTCCAAGTTTTGTGTTCCGACTTAAAAATTAATTTGCATTGCACTCCACGACATTTGTTTAAATACAAAAACACTGTTTAGAATGACTCCCCAAATAATTCCACCACCTCTCCCACCTGGTCTGCACACCAGGGCGGGCGGAGCCCAGCCTGGAAAGCTATTCTCACAGATAGGTGGACCAGGCAGGCAAGAGTGCTTTTCGGGAAGTCTGTCTGGAGCATTTTCACAATGAAGTAACGTTATTCCCTCAGGTTAGAACTAAATGCTTCAGGAAACAGCGGATTATCAATTTCAACGGATGGAAAAATAAATAGCGAACAACCCCTGTGTTTTAATTTTCAAACAAGGAAATCCGTTAATTTGATTTACTAACAGAGGTGAAAGAAACCCCGTCCCGATCTTTTATTTCTTCCATAGAAAAACACAAATTAGTTTTGTTAAATATAAAAAAGACAACGCAAGACCCACGGAAAGAGGAGACGCTTCTCTCCGCTGGCTCTGCAGAGCTTTTCCCTAGTTTTTGAGCCGACTTTGGTGAATCTGTGTCACCCACTGCAGCCGGACGTGATAATTCAACGCGTCAGGCTACCTTTTTTGGCACTTCGGAAGCACCGCCATCACAAAAGGAAAACTATTCTTCTGATACGGCACTTGTTTTCTCCAGAAGACTAAGCTCTAAAAATCTGCCACCTTGAAGAACACAAATGGTTCACAAGCATATGGTTTTCTGGCTGTCCCACAGGAAGGATGCAGCTTTGCGAGGGGGCTGTGGTCCACCCCCCCCCACCCCCACCCCACCGCCCCCCGGCCGGCCACAGCAGACCAGCCCCACGAGCCCGGTGACACACAGTGCCGGGCCCTGCTGCCAGGTCCCTGAAAGGCATCTGTGGACTTCACTGGTTGTCGTAACGGGTTTCAAGAGACACCCATTTTAAAACAGGTTTCAAGAGTTGTTCACGTTTGGTTTTCAGGTGGCCTCAAAGATGCGTCGGGACGTAGTTAAAATCCCATCTCTGAGTAGGGTATCATCAAAAAGAGAGCTGTTCAAAAAAGTCACAAAAGCAGGAACCTGAGCTTCCCTCATATCTGTTTTTTCGTGGCCGTGCTTTTTCCCATTAACCGTTTAAAAGTCTGAATCAGCAGCAAATATAGCCGTACGTACGTGCGCGTGTGCGTGTGCGTGTGCGTGTACACATTTTGGCTGACTTAAGGGAAATAAAGGTCATTTTGTCTCCTACAAACATTTGCTGCAGGCCCTTCAAGAATGTTCACTTCCCTGCAGGCGGGACAATGTAAGTGTGGACGTTGAAACGCAATTCTGACGGGTGCTCCCTGGCCGGCCTGCGTACGGAACGTCCTTGCATCGAGTAGCCCTTAATCAAGGGAGGGTCGACCACACCATTTCGCCGTTGGTCCTTCTGCGCATCATAACGCGGCCAAGTCGCATCCTTGGCACCCACATCCGAGCGGGTCTCTTTCATATTAGCTATAAATTAATCCCGAGGTCTCGGAGCTCTACTTTTCCAGAGTTAGGAACATTGCTCAACTCCCTTCAGAAATATCTTGCATAATTGGCTGGTCCCTAAGCTGAAACAAACAAAAACGTCGAAGGCAAGAAAGAATACATAAACTGAGAGCTCCACCTGTTACACGCATACACACGCGTTTCCTCTCCAGGTTCTACACAATAAAAGGAGTCACGTCAGCTAATATAGCTTCTAATATCGGCTTCATCTAAAAACTGCCTTTTCCGGGTTTCTTGCCAACATCATACGACACAGCAGTACTTTTTCCACCAGGACTTGGAGAGGTTTTTCATTTTGTCAGGAGTCCTGCTTTTGCGCTTCTTTGGCTGTTGCTGAGTGTCTGAGTACTGAATGCCGGCGACAATGGCCGCGTCAAAGACCTCTTTGAGGTTTTTCTGAGTCAAGGCCGAACACTCGATGTAGGAGGCGGCTTTGATCTCCTCGGCGCACAGCTTAGCTGCCTCTTCAGGCACCGGCTTCTCTTTGCATTTGTCCAGCTCAATGAGGACTTTGACGTCTTCTCTGAGATCCGACTGAGTTCCAACGAGGACGATGGGGGCTTTGGGACAGTGGCATCGGATCTCGGGCACCCACTTCTCACTGACGTTCTGGAAGGATGAGGGGCTCACCACACTGAAGCACAGAAGAAAGATGTCCGTGTTGGTGTAGCAGAGGGGCCTGAGTTTGTCAAACTCATCCTGCAACCAATCAAGGCACCCAAAAGTTATTTTTTAAATCCATTCTCATTAGCAAAAAGACCCCCTTACCAATTTTTTCCTCGCAAAGGGTTATAGCAAGCCCACTGCCAGGGCCTCGGAAAGCAATCCTGCTGCTTCCCTAAATGGGGCCCACACGCCCAGCCCCACTCAACCTGCCCAAAGTGTTCGGTGTTTTCATCAATACTCATGACCCATTTGCAGCTCACCACAGAAAAAGTACTTACATCGGGTGAATTTTAGAAATAAAATTGACTTCATCTAGCCTTCAGCCCAGAGTAACCCAGACTTACTCTCTCAACTGTGGTACTTAGCCACTCTTCCAAAACTTAGACAGCATCCACAATGATCCCCAGGTCTCCAAGCTGACCCCAGTGAGCCCCGGTCTAACACAGCTCCTGTCTTCAAGAATCCAGCCCTGCCCTTAGGGTGCCTGGATGGTTCAGTCGGTTACCCGTCCCACTCGGTTTCGGCTCAGGTCATGATCTCACGGTTTTGGGGATTCAAGCCCCTTGTTGGGCTCTGTGCTTACACAATGGAGCCTGCTTGGGATTCTCTCTACCTTAATATCTCTCTTCTTAACCATTCATCAAATACCACCCGGTAACAGCAGCAGTATTATGTCAGAAATGAGTAAACTTTGAAAAGGGAATCGTCGGGCATGTCCCATGCCACATGTGACAGCGGCTGTTGTGTGCATGCCTGCCTATCTGCCTGCGCACTCAGGACACACTTTTGATTGGGAAGGGTGCTGATCAGCGCACGGACAGGACCCGGTGGACTGAAGGACATATGCTCATGAATACCCTCATGACGAATCAGCACACAGCTTGCTGGTTGGCACGTTATCATTCTTGCTTGATGTTCCTCTTTCTTGCTTTATCTCTTTTTCTCCCTCCTTTCTTCCTTTTCTTACTTCCTTTAGCCTTTTTTTTTTTTTTTTTTTTTACCCCTGCAAATACCAGGGGCCTCCACGCACGGCGCTTTGGGAAGATAAAGGACCAGGGAAAGGGCATACCCACCCTACTCTTAAAATATAGAGAATTGGATGGAATAATTCTAGTTCATTACAGAAACCAAGCATCATGCTGCATATCTGCAATAGTCACCCACTTCACAGAGATGCAGGCTGGACACTGGGTCCCGGGCAGGGCCAGGGGATTCACTGGGAACAGACAGACCTGGCCTCAGCCCTTGCAGAGATGTCTGCCTCCAAATCAGCATTTCTTTATAGTCTCCTGGAGTGCCATATTCAGCTAACTGAAAGCTTTCACTCACCTCTCTCATAGGAAAATACTTACATCATCTCATTCCTATTTAGAATTTCTGGGGCGCCTGAGTGGCTCAGTCAGTTAAGCGTCTGACATCGGCTCAGGTCATGATCTCACGGTTTGTGGGTTCGAGCCCCGCGTCGGGCTCTGTGCTGACAGTTCAGAGACTGGAGCCTGCCTCGGATTCGTGTCTCCCTCTCTCTCTGACCCTCCCCTGCTCGCACTCTGTCTCTCTCTCTCTCTCAGAAATAAACATTAATTTTTTTTTTTTTAATTTCTATCGGTGGGGGCCCCTGGCTGCCTCAGGTCGGAAGACATATAGGACTCTCGATCTCAAGGTCGTGAGTTCAGGTCCCCCACTGGGTGTAGCGATCATGAAAAAAATAAATACATAAACGTTGAAAACGATAAAAAATAGATAAAATAAAATTTCTGTCGGTGGGCGCCAGCCATCCGCAAGTGGACTGTAACAGACCACTTCCCAGTGGCCAGAAAAAGTGAAATGTCATCCAGGTTTTCATTACCGACATGCACATTATTCCATATCTGCAGCCTTTCTGCAGATGTAAAGAAAACCTGAATCTGTTTTTTTTTTTTCTTCATTTGAAGCTCCGTATTTCAGTTGTAGGGCAACAACCAACAATATTGAAGTCAGCCAGCTACAATGCTCAGGAACAAATCTGGCATTTCGGAACGTCACTGCCACGTGTCTTCTACAAACGACGGTTTAAAAAGAACAACTTAGCTTCCTTAGTGCCAACTTTGTGTGGAGGAATAAACACAGAAACCCGACCAGGTAGACTACGGCCTCGCTCTGAAGACCTCGTAATAAAACATTCCTTCTGTTCTCGGAGGCCTCAAAGCAAAAGCACAAGACTGAGCCCCACGTAAAGGCAGCTCCCTCAGGCAGCTGCACCTCGCTGTGAGAAGGCAGTCACCCTCGGCCGTGGCCTGGAATCCGGGCTTGCATTTCCAATAAAAAGAAAGACAAGCACAGGGGCTGGGCCCTGTGACCGGCCTTTGGAAATCTGGCTCCCCAGACCTCTGGGGAGTCTGGCTAAGGGGCTCCGGGAGCCGAGCAGAAATGAAACCCTCCTCCTCACGGCCTGCCCAGAAACCTTAGATATTTGCTGAAATAAATGCATTGTGCACATGGGGGGCGAGGTCAGTGGAACGCACCCCCAAGGTGCTGAGGGGTGAGGCCCAGTGACTGGCATGCACCTGCCGGGTCGGCAGGAAGACGTACAGAATTCCGTCAGGGGAGGGGCGGGGCGGGCCGGACAGGCAGCTCAACAGTAACGTTGGTCAAGCTGCAACCTGATTTTTTTTTTTTTTTTTTTTTTTTAATTTTTTAATGGTTATATTTATTTTTGAGACAGAGAGAGACAGAGCAGGGGAGGGGCAGAGAGAGAGGGAGACACAGAATCCGAAGCAGGCTCCGGGCCCTGAGCTGTCCGCACAGAGCCCGACGCAGGGCTCGAACTCACAAACTGTGAGATCGTGACCTGAGCCGAAGTCGGACGCTCAACCGACTGAGCCACCCAGGCGCCCCCCAAAGAGATTTTTCTAAGTGCCTCACGGGTCAAAAGGCTGAAGAACTTTCAGCTTCTCCTGGTAATGCCACCGCGAACTACTCCTATTTCAGTGACGGTCCTCTCTCTTCTGCCAAAGGTATGTTTTGCAGAGCCCTCAGTCTCCGATCTATTCTCACTTAAGTAAGACTGTGAGTCCAGTGTTAAGAGCTCCTCGTAAGGTCTCATATGCTCACCTACCTCCCTGACAGGAAGACCCGAAGGCACAAAAAGCGATTTCTAGTTCCTCATGCAGCCAAGGAGCGCCACATTCTTGCTCCGAGCTTCCATATGAAACCAGGGCATTTGGGCCCCGGGTTAGGGCTATCTGTGCTCACGTTTCCCTGGGTTGGGACTCAGACGTGACACAAGTCATAAGGCTACTGTGAGGACTGCCTGAAGGGGTGGGGGCCGGGGGGGTTCCACTGGTTGAGTCAACATCAGGGAAATACAGCAGGTGTCAAGTCAAGTCCCTTAAAAGGCAGTTTATCAGATCTGGATTAACTAAGGAAGTTGGGAAAGAACTACCACTTGGACCGGCTTTGATGTGAGTCCAAATAAGTCCCAAATGACACCTGGGGTGTAGGGGAGAAATGACTTTATCTTACCAACCGTGTAGGTTTCATAAATAGTTTCTGAAGTTAGTTTTCTACACGTCTTTAGATGGTCACCTCCTCCGTTACATAATAAGGTATGCGTTACTAACCAATACGTCAGTTAAGAAATACAGTCCAGGGGCGCCTGGGTGGCTCAGTCGGTTGAGCGTCCGACTTCGGATCAGGTCATGGTCTCACGGTTCGTGGGTTCGAGCCCCGCATCGGGCTCTGTGCTGACAGCATAGAGCCTGGAGCTTGCTTCGAATTCTGTGTCTCCCTGTCTCTCTGCTCCTCCCCCGCTCATGCTCTGTCTCTCTCTCTCTCTCTCTCTCTCTCTCCTTCAAAAATAAATTAAAATAAAAAAAAGGAAATTCAGTCCATCTCAACGAAAACATCACGGGGAGAGCAAGAAAAAAAAAAACAATTTCCAAATAAACCAAAACGTACCGACTTGCACCAAAATCCTTCTATTTCCCTAAACAATTTCTTCATGAAAATGTCTCCAAAATTATTCTCGTGCTTCCCCCACTTTCAGACAGACCATACTACGGCAAACCAAACCCCGCCTCAATAGTTCAGGATCGTTTCCACAAAGCGGTCCCGATGAGACTCCTAAGCCTCTTCCAAAACTGCTCAGAGGTTTTCTCCCCAGACCCACCTGTCCTGCACCCCGAGCCCATGTTGCCTTCCGCCTTATGGAACTTCGCTGGTTTCTTTTCACAAGTTCTCCTCACTGGTCTGTCTTCCCTCCAGACTGCAAAGCCTTGTGAGGGGCGGGCCCAGGACCTCAGTTAGCACTTCCCCAAGACCTAGCTCTCCTTTTGTCTTCTCCATGCGAAACCGCGACTCAGCCCTATTATGTGGCAGGCACCATGCAGGCAGAACCCCAACCTAGGAAGCCGTGTCTGCGGCAAGAACCAACATATAACAGGAGAGCCCCATCAGGGGGCAGGGATGTCACTGAGCTGGGGGGTCCCCAGTAACTGTGCCTTCTCGGGGCCGTTAGGCTGCTCCTTCAGCCTATATTTATCGATGTGCTCCTCTGACCTCACCTGGAAGGTCAGAAAATCAGACACGGAGCAGGAAAAATATTCCCACTTTATGCAAAGCCATACAGCGTTCGCTATAAATACGAGGAGGGCGTCCAGAAAAGATGAAACATTGCAACGGCGGTGTTCTTTGCGTTCTCTTTTGCACAGACTACACACAGTGTTTGATTTTCCCTGCTGCGGCTGAAGGGGAAGGATGAGGAGAGAAAGAAGAGGCCGGGCTACCACTCCCGCCGCTGTGGCCCCCGCCAAACCAGCGTCGAGCTGGAGACCAGAGCTGCTCAGGCTTGTATCACCTGGAGGTTTGAACTCGCTGTCCCCAGGCTAGGTGAGCAGCTTGGAAGTCCTGGCTGGGACAAGGCACTAGAGAATACTGGAAGGCCAACTTCTTAAACACGGAAGGTCACGTGACGATACCTCAGAAAGTGAAGTGGGCCCTTTTACGGGCCTACAAAGTGCCCCTCAGCATCTGCTCTAACAAAGTACAGGAAGGACTACATGTTTGTTAACTGTCACTTTGACCAACTCAAGAGACAGCACCCTGGGTTCTCACAGGGAACGAGGAGACCTCGGTGACGAGCGCCATGCCAAGGGAGGACGCGGTGATGATGAGTCCCCGGAGCTCGTCGGGGAACACCCGAATCCCCATCGCTCCCTGGGTGTCCGATCCAAGTGCCTAACCTTCCCACGATTTGGAAAGACTAAGTCCAGGTTCATTCATGACTCTGGTGCAGGACAGCTTTGACCCCTGCATCTGCTTCAGGGAACGAAGGTGGCCCTAGCGAGTCAAACCACGGCTTAGGAAATGCCATCTTTTTCTTATTTATTTATTTATTTATTTATTTATTTTATTTATTTATTATTTTTGAGACAGAGAGAGACAGAGCATGAGCAGGGGACGGTCAGAGAGAGAGGGAGACACAGAATCCAAAGCAAGCTCCAGGCTCTGAACTGTCAGCACAGAGCCCGACGCGGGGCTCGAACTCATAGACCACAAGACTATGACCTGAGCCAAAGTCTGACGCTTAATGGACGGAGCCACCCCGGTGCCCCAAAACTCCATCTGTCTCTTGAGCAAATTTCTTTAATATGTGGCTGGTTGACTTCCAATGAAATGATTACATCGCCAACTAAGTTTGAGAAATGATCACAGAGCATCAGTGATAATTTTTAATAAAAACCAGAGAGTAAATAAGGTCAGAAACGCCTGTTGAGAAGAGAACTGTTCTTCACCCTGTTGTCACCGTCCTGCCCACGCAAAGCTGGGCCAAACCCGGTTTTACTAGCTCAGGGTTTTATCCCCCTCCCCGTCACCCTCTCAGGGGTGGGTCTACTTCCTGAGGCTTTAGAATGACCCCGTTTATGCAAGGAGGGTATTCTGAGGCTTTTCAAAGGCTGGTTCCCTTCCCACCACTGAGCAGCGACGATACACTAACCTGCCCGGCAGTGTCACAGAGCTGGAGTCTCACAGGCCGTCCGTCCACAGAAACCACCGCTTAAAAACAAGATGAAAACAATGATCAGGGGGGGGTGTCCTTTAACCCCTTTCAGGAAAACCATCGTGTTAGCTGCAACTACCAGTCTCCCTCCAAACCCTTCGGTTATTCTGGGTCCCCTAATGAATTAAAGACTGGTCTAAAACAAGGAGGCCCCCATGCAGGCACTTTTGTATACAACCCTCCTGGGCTGGCACCTCACGGCACTGCCCGGATGAGGCCGCAAGCCCCTGAGCCATCGGATGGCACCCCAGAAGGGCCTGCACTCTTCTCCCAGCCCCGGAAGATTTATTTGCCCGTCACGCTAGTTTCAAAACACCTAAAAGCAACACTGGGGGGTAAATGGGAACCAACCTTGCCGTTTTAACTCAGTGGGAAGCCTCACAAATAATTCTGTTTTCCCTTGGGATCTGTTCCAAGACTTCATGGTTTATCAGAAAATTGTAGCTTGTTTTGAGAACACGAGCAAACACAGGCTGCCTGCATTGTCCTGTTTATGGAAGCGGGCCCTGCTCACCTCACCCTGTCGGCTCAAAGAGAGGATTAAAAAAGAAAAGAAAGCCTGTCCACCTTTCCACTGGGATGGGGTACTGGGCAGGGGCCTGCCTCAGGGCACAGCTTGAGGTTTCTATTTGAATTAAGCACCCAAGTTTGTCTCCGTACAACTTTCTCAGTTCTTTTAATGTTTACACTGATCAGCTGGGAGGAGGAAAGGGGGGGGGGACCCAACACTGTTTAGGTGGCAAACCCATTAGGTGTGGCACACTTTCATCTAGGGTACCCAAGCCCTTGCCATTGGGACTACGTGGTCAAGAAACATTTCTTTTTTTTTTTTTTTTTTTTTT